ATTTTTTCAAAAAAATAATTTTTTTGGCCGATATATTTTTGCTATGGAACAGGCTTACCTCCTGTGTTTAATTAAAAAAATCCCCGCCCCGACTCCAAGCGACTAATTAGTAAGGTGCACACGACCGCTAGAATGGGGGTAGGTATTATTCATTTATGTTACTTTACAATATTAGCGAACCTCGACATAAAACAATGGAATCAACCCCGAATATAAATATCAATAAAATATCATCAAAGAAAGTAGGTGAATAGTATGATCATAAAGATTATGTCCACTGCGAAAACATTGTTCTCGTTTCTGCAGTCGGATAAAAGAGTAGTAATTATTCTACCCTAGCTTTTTCCCGCGGTCTCACCCGCGTGAAATTTAGTTTGTCACAGATCGTCATAAATTATAGTCTACATTAGAGATTGCAAAATCCGGACTTTTCTTAAATCCGGTTTTCAGGATTTGTGTTACGTACAAATCCGGATTATCCGGATTTTTCGAATATTGGGTAAATTTTTTAAACCATCAATTTAATTTAAATAAAACTTAGTTTTTTTTCAAAAAGATGTAAGTATTTGAAGAAAAGCGTTTTATTTTATTATCGCGCATGGAATTTATCCCTCTTTTTTTCGGTTTGCGCTACAAGCTTTCGAAATTATTTGAACCTTGCATTATTTTTTTCGTTTTAGTACAACTGCAGTTCAGAATAAAAACTTGCTTGTACCTATAAAATATTTTTTTATTCTTCTTCTTGTCGTGTCGACAACAAACCTACACAGCGTCAGCCCAAAACTCCGCCACAAGAGTGGCGTTGTCAGTAGCCTTCATTAAATCTTCCTGCTTGCAGTTGTTTGGGCACGCAGGGCACGACATCATATGCTTCGTCGACTAGGGAACAAAACCACACTTGCACTCCAAGTTTGATCGATCTAAGAATCCCTACCTGACACCTGAACAGATTGTCCTTACTACGGCAGACCTGTCCGAAGTCTATAAAGATTTCCAGGTAGGCCAGGGGAGCTAATTTTTTTATTATAATTTTATTTTACACTTTTAAGTTGTATTTAATTTCAATCTCAGGGCCCTGGTAATTATTTACGATCAAAGTGCTCGGGAAGACGAATCCAACGAACTCAAACTCTATAAGTTTCTGCCGTTTCGGTTAGGAGTTCCTATGGCCACCTCCTGACTTAATCATCAGGACCCTGAACATCATCTAGCACTTAAGTGCTTGAAAAGACAAATCCAACAAACCCAAATTCGATGAGTTTCCACCGTTTCGTTTAGGAGTTCCTATGGCCACCTCCAGAATCCATCATCAGGACCCTGGGCATCATCTAGCACTAAAGTGCTCGAAAAGACAAATCCAACAAACCCAAGTTCGATGCGATTCCGCCGTTTCGTTTAAGAGTTCCTATGGTCACCTCTTGACTCCATCATCAACCCAGCTAAATGGTTGGCGGTATAGCCAACAACCTGTTTAGAACTCTTTTAAGGATTTCTCCACAATCACCCCCATTCTCATACAATAACATTTCGAGATGAATTAATGTAAGCAAATCGGATCCGTTGGGTGAATTTGATGGGCGAGGTTGAAGATCTCTACTTACACATGGCCTGCGGATGAATATGGAGAAATCATAGCTTATGTCCAATGTCCATGTTGCGCCCTACCCAGTTTCGGTTAGGAGCTCAATTCTCGAGATTGTTGACAAGCATGTCTACCTCGGACAAACGATTAAGCTGGGTAGGTCCAATTTCGAGAAAGAGGTGAATCGTCGAATCCAACTCGGCTGGGCAGCGTTTGGGAAACGACGCAACATCTTTTCATCCAAAATACCTCAGTGCCTGAAGACTAAGGTCTACAGCCAATGTGTGTTACCAGTGATGACTTATGGTTCGGAAACGTGGCCTCTCACTATAGGCCTTATACAGAAGCTCAAATTGCACAGCGTGTTATGGAGAGGGCTATGCTCGGTGATTCTTTACGAGATCGAATCAGAAATGAGGAGATCCGTAAACGAACTAAAGTCGCTGACATACTAGCCCGACGGATACAAGCTGAATTGGCAATGGGCAGGGCACATAGTACGCAGAACTGACGGCCGATGGGGCAGCAAGGTTCTGGAGTGACATGCAATAAATAATTTGAATTTGAAGTGGAGGCCGCGTACCGGAAAACGCAGCGTGGGATGTCCACCCACACAAGGTGGACCGATAACATCATAAAGGTAGCAGGAAGGCGCTGGACGCAGGTCGCTACCAACCAGGTAACATGGAAAGCATTGGGGGGCCTATGTTCAGCAGTTGACGTCCTATGACTGAGATGATGATGATGATGATGATGACTTACACTTGCAAGGGATATTTGCCGATTTAGCTGCTCTTTAAAACTCAGCGATATGGTGTTTCAGAATCAGCGTCTCGTATAAAACTCACTGGCCGACTAGCGAATTCACTTACGCATGCGGCATGACGCGTCATTGTGCAGGCACAGTGCAGGTGTGAGTGTTGTGCGACGAAGTGCGGGTGCTTTCAATCAAAACTTCGCTTGTTTTGCATCCATGTTGCATTCAATAGATATTTTGGTTTATGATTTTATGATAAAATTTTTGGGGTAAAAATATTCGAAAAAACCGGATTTCAAAGTAAAAATCCGGATTTTTTTATAGCCTCAAAATCCGGATTTTTTAGATATTTTCGAATTTCGAATAATCCGGATTGCAATCTCTAGTCTACATGTTATTCTGGGTTATAAACAATAATACTGTAAAGTTTCATCAAAATCCGTTCAGTAGGTTTTGCGTGAAAGAGTAACAAACATCCAGATTCCAGACATCCAAACTTTCGCTTTATAATAGGTTACTACATATTAAGTAGAATAGGTAAATCGAAAGATTGAGTCTTAAACACTGTAAAAGTTTAAAGCAAGTTAAGAGGTTCTGGAGAAGAGCAACAGGTTATAAAATAAATTTTCATATCAGATACAATATCAAAAGACCGCAGAAAATCCTAGCGTTATTATCTTATTATTATAATACCCCACAAAGGTAGAGTTCGGATCTACAAAGGTCGCAACGCAACTTACTGTATCCAACTCTAGGTTCACGAAGCGATAGGGCTTCCAAGTTTTAGGGATTTAAAAACTTGTAACTATAACATTACGTATATAAAAAATTAAGGCCAAAGATTGCAAGTAAAAAAAACTTCTGTGGAAATCATCATTTAATAATGTTTTTTGTCAATGTAACACTGCTGTCGCAATGAAAACAAAATTATGAATGTGAAACTAGTGCGGGTTTTTCCAGAAAAATATTTTTATGTAAATCTCTCTTTATAGCCAGTCCATGAATGCTCGATTTGCAAAAAAATGTAGGACCTTTCTCAGCTCTTTGGAAGCCCTATTCGCGAAGACTACTTCTCAGCAGTCGATCGCAAATTGGACGATAGTTACAATGAGAAATAAAATCATGGAGATTTTTGAGTCAGTTTATACCTACAATACGCAATATTCGTACTTAAAGGGGATGCATTTTATTTATTTTCAGTGCCGGAAACTTAAAACGTAGCTGTGGGCAGGCTTCAAGTGCTGAAACGAAGGAAAGAACATAAAGAGGAAAGAAAAACTGAAAATACTTGCTGAAGGCCGTAGTTCTTTACAACAACTACTTATGCTTCCATTTGGGCATAAGTGTAAGTGACTTACACTTATGCCCAAACCAAGACCCAAGACTTACAGTAAGTCTGCACTGCACGTAACCATCATAACTTTTTTCATAAAGCGCATATTATGGGAGTATCCTGGTAAGTTATACATAAAACTTAACCGGCTTCTGTGTTAAGTTGAAAACTTTAACAGAATGTGTTCTACTTTGTTTTTTCTTTGAACTTGAACTAAAAACTTTTCTTGATTATGCTTCGTGGGTACCAGGCTGGCATAAACTTGGAGGGGTCAATGGTGAATGGCCCATGTCAAACAGGCTGGACAGAAAGTTAAAACGGCGAAGAGCGTCGACCTTGCTTTGTCGTAAACATGACGCGTCGTCGTATGAAGATCTACAGACAGTGCGTACCGACTACCGACATGTTTTTGTTGTAGGTGTCTACTAAACACCTACTGCTTACTGATAACCATTTATAAAAATAAAAGGTTTTGAACCCTTAATGAATCTGAATCTAATGAAAATGAAATCTCCCAAAACGAGTGAAAGGTAAGCTAGCCTACATAATATTAAAACTAAAATTCTACTTGTTTTTGAGACACCTAACGCCATCTATTGTTGAATAATGTCGATTCCTGGTGCTGTAAATAGCACTTGTAACATTTTTCAGAACGCCATCTATCGAAATTTATAGTAATATAGATTGGTTGAAGTACCAACAGATGGCGCTAAGTAACAGTTCTGGCGTAAGAAATAAACGTTTAAAAAATTGCCTCTTAACTCGGCCTCCGAACAGTAACTAAAAACTGAAATAATTTAACATTAGTATTTTAATAAAACGCCCAATTTCACTTCAGTGATTTATTAAGATTAAATATTCAACCTATTACTAAAACATAACATTAACCATACCATCAAAGCACGTTTCAGCGAAACAAGACCAATACACACTAGACTGCTATAAAAATATCAAATTCCACTAAATTGTACATATTTAGAAAAGGCCAAACATGAAAAGAGTATTTAAACTAACCGACTACATTTAAGTAAGATATTATTTTTACGAAGTATTTTCTAACAGACCATTTTTTTAAATATTGAAAGAAAGAAAAATTTATTATTTGGTTCAAACATAGTAGTATTGCTCTCCAACTAATCAAAATGATATTAAAAAAACTATGTAAAAACTTTTGGCCATTTCTAAATATCTCTAGTCTATCTGATAGACTATTATCTAGGTATGTATGTAACTATGTATAAGTTATTGACTTGGCAAAAAAAAAACTAACTAATTAACAATATCTATGAACATTGGTTTGACAAAAAAAAAAGTGGAGTCTGTATCAATGCATTATTCTAATTTTACAACCTGTGTATGTAAAACTTTCAAGCTGAAATTGACAAATATCACAAAATGTCAACAATAAATATATGATTAACTTATAACCATTACTTTAAATCGTGGTTCTCAAAACCAAGTTGTGGCCAAAATAAAAGAAGAAGAAGAAGAACCATTACTTTAAAAAGCTGGGAACAAGTATAAAATTCAGTTCATTTCAAAGTTTTACTTTAGATTAAGCTTAAAATATTATGCCATATTTACAAGTAGAAAAATCATAGTGGAGATCTATAAATAACATACAAATGACTGACTAACACAATCATTCAACTTGCTTTAAGCAAAATTTACAAGAAAACGGCCACAGGCTATCTTTAAATAAAAGTAAAACCTAGTGCACATAATTATACAAACAAAAATTATTCCAGTGACCATGAAAAAGAATGCATTCCATGAAATTCAAATAGTTTTGTCTACAAAATTCACAAAAACTGAAAAATTAAGACTATAGTTTGAAACAGTACTAATATTTGTTCCATGGAACATTTTCTATTGCATGTTTTCTTAGTTTGTGCTTTTTCAAATATTTGGAATCTATAAATGCTTCTCCACAAATTGAACAGATGTATGGGCGTTCACCAGTATGAGTTCTGAGGTGCACCACCAGATTGCCTTTTAATGCAAAGAATTTCATACACACAGAGCACCCAAACTTCTTCTCTCGTGTGTGAGTCAATTGATGTGTCCGTAAATGAGTCTTTGTTTTGAATCGAAGAGAGCACAGCTGACAGGGATATGGCCTCTCATTCGTATGAACTCTTTCGTGCATGATCAACATTGCCTGACTAGAGCATCCTTTACCGCAAATGCTGCATTCAAATCGCTTAACAGTTTTATTCTTTGCATTCTTATGTATCAAAATGTGTGAGAGCTTTTCTTTCTTCGAAGGCAAAACCTCACCACATTCCGAACATATCAATTCTGTTGGGTCTATCATGTGTGTACTTTCAACGTGCTGTTCTAAAGCAGATTCTAGTGAAAACATTTTCTTGCACAGTGAACAAGCATAGCCAACCACTTTGCCTATATTTGTAGTGATTTCTTGTTTCACAGTCTTCAATAGTTCAGTTTTAACTTTGGTTATCTTAGATTTGTCACAGCTGCCATCATCTTTATGTGTAGCTAAAGCTTCTTTGTTCTCAAACGTCTCATCGCATTGGTTGCAAGAATAGGGATTCATGTGAGTCAATCTGTGAGTTTGCATTGAAATTTTTTGGTGGAATCTTTTGTGGCAAATATCACATTCAAATTCTCTGATCCCACTGTGGATCATCATGTGGCGTTTTAGATTATTTGGGTTAGCAAAAGTCTTGAAGCAGATACTGCATTTAGGTTTGATGTTATTGTGAGCATATTTTATATGTTGAGTCAATGCATTTCTTCTTATTGGTTGATTGCAAAACGGACATAAGAGCAACATACCAGTGACGCTATGAAGTAGTGTATGCCCGGTCAAAATTTGAGCAGATTCGAAACCTTTACCGCACAAATTACAAAGATGTTCACCGGCTGGGTTATGCTTATACCGGTGCTTTTCATACTCAGCTAGATCTTCGAATTGTTCCCCACAATCACACAGAAATGTACCATCTTCTTGTTGCAATACAGTTGCAATTTGTCCATCTTCTACTTGTGCATACTCAATAACCAATTCGGATCCCTCGCACTTGAGTATTTGGAATGGTGACGAATCATCTCCTTCGCAGAAAATAACTTCCTCCTGATCCATCTGATCGCCGTCAGCACTTCGTACAAGTTGGGAATCTGTTAGGTACTCAATACCATCGGTGCCTTTAAGAACTATAGTGCCATCTGCATTTGCTGTAGTTAATATTTTGATAAAATTCTTGGAATTGGGTAAGTTGCTGACAATGTTACCTGTATAAGTTTGTATTTCCATTTGAGATTGGTCGTCATGGATTTCCTGTAACCCTTGATCTTGCGAATTACTGTCTTGCGTGTCTGTATCCATCACATTATTATAATCATCATTATCTTGACTCTCTTCCTCATTCTCCAATATTGTTGCTGGAACATTTACTGGGATTTTTGTATTTGAAACCAGAAACGAGTCTATAGTATTTTCAAACTGGTTGTGAGTTTGATTGAATTCTTCTAATGGTTCGATCGGCTGCTCATTTTCAGCTGGTACAGGATCGATTAATTCAGATTTAATGTGGGACATGTCAATTGTCGTTTCAAAGTCTGGTTTGTCTGGTGCAACAGATTTATCTGGTATAATATTTTCATTTTCATTTTCTTTGTCTTTGGGATCATCTATAACAAGGACGTAATAGCAGTCATCGTCACTGTCAGATGGTTCTTTCTTTATGATTGCTTCCAACTGTTTGACAGGATCATTGGCTATATCGTCATCGTCGTCTTCTTGATTGATGTCATCCATGTCTGCCTCTTGGCTGTATTGGTCTTTGGCCTGTTCTAATAACGCTTGTAACTGTAGTTTCAGGTCCGTATCCATTTTGATGCACTGCTTTCTGAATTGGTGCGCTGAAGTCAGTAATGAGTAACAGTCACCGCACAGTTTCTGCGGCAGACCGTCTTCTGCACTAACCTGAAATGTAAAGTTTCTATTATTGAATATAAAACTATTAACCTAAAATAATGTCAACAAGTCTATTTTATTTATGTATTAATAAACTTGTCCTAAGTTAAACTCAATAAAATTGACAATAAATAAAGTTGAAGCAGAAATATTAGGTTACGTTAATCAAATAGGTTTGTATTTAGTATCACTTACAACTTATTATTTAAAAAAATCGGTATTACCAGATTTAGTTGGGAATATCATTCTCCAAATGAAGCTACTTTTGAGGTTATGTTGTCAATTTGCAATTTCAAATATCGATGCTCATTCGCAATGCGACTGACATAATTAAATAGGTTAGATAACGATACTTTTTGCAATATTTACCTCTATAGTCGTTATATCATAGAACTTCAACAAAATGCTCTCGTCTGCACCCAGTAAAGATACCGTAGTATTTGAAGACAGACAGGAACGGCACAAATTTGACCACGTATCCATTTTATATCACCGTATACATAATTACCACACCAGGAAAACCTGGAAAAAATATTAAAATCACAAACAGCGTTCATTGTTTTGACGGACATTATTCAAATCAAAGAGTAAAATTGTTTTACTAGTATCCAAAGAGTAAAAATTATCTACGGACCTTGCCCATAAAGTCGATCTATCCGAAAATTATAGACAAGAGAGATGAACAGCGTACAAAATGGCGCAACACAATAAAACCCCACCGGATGTACTTACCGACAATTTTTACTACGAGTCCAGAGAGGGCGCTGACTCGCGAAAATTTCTTGTATTTCATCCATTTTAGATAAATTTCCAAGAGCTAATTATTCATTAAATTTAATAGAATAGAAAAGAACAGAAGCCTTTCTAATTATTTTAGATTTTTCATAATTTTCATGATACACTTTTAGTTTTTCGTTTTGCCGCCGATACACAAAACGGAAATGATACTCCGACACAGCACTGATTTAATACTTCCGTCCATAGATTAATAAAGCTTGCTTCACTATTTGTATTTTATTATATTATTAGACTGAAATACTTTAAATGATGGATTTTAATAAGTTGTTTCGGATGAAATAAATAATACAATTATATTATTGGAAATAACGAAAATATATTTAGTTAAAAGTAGCTAAAAGTTTAAATGCATCGAGCACGAATTGGAGTATTGGAGTAGACATAAATAAAATGCCAGTGCTGCTGCTGCGCAGTGTAAAGGGTTTAGACACGTATAAAGAACATCCATTTTTAAAACCTCGAAGCGTTTCGTTTTTTTTTACAAACTGTCAGAGAAAATCAAAACAAAAAAAAAGTTTGCAAAAATGCCAAAGTTTGTTGTTGTTTGTTTTCATGGATTTTAACAACAATAATTTCACCGTGTGATATATTGAACACTTCTAGTTTTAAGGTACGTATTATTTTGTAATGCAGTGCTTTAGACATGCTCTCTCATCTGCGATGCAGTGTGAGATCTGATAATGAGAGAAAGTTATTGATGATAGACTTTTTTACATCCTTTTCATTAATTTTACAATTCTTATTTTGTGTCGGCCGCCAAGTGCTAAAACAAAACTGAATGCTACAACTTTTTTCAGGTTTACATTTACCAAAAATTAATATTGCTTACTACCGTGTTCAAGATGAGTAGTGCTTTCTTATATTTAGGATTACTAAGATTCGCCGCTTTAGAAGAGAAGGCGAGACAAAGAAAGAGGGCAAGAAAGACCAAAGCATATATAAAAATGACCAGAGCCCTCAAGACTGATTTTTACAGACTCCGGTGTCTATCGATGGATGATACATCTTTTTTCAAGTTATTAGCAATGGTTCGACCAATAATGCAAGCTGATGATAAAGATATGGAGGAAATCGAAGTCGTGGAGCTACTGTTGCTTACATTGAAGTATTTAGCCAGTGGATGTAGTTTGGAAGAATTGACACAAGGTTGTGATTTATCGCTTACAGAACTTGTGAAAGACATCCCAATGACTTGTAAAGCAATATTTAAGGCTCTTAAACCTTATATTAAGGTAAGCAAGAAATATTTTTTTAAATTAATTAACTAAGGCCTATACATAATAGTTTAGTATCAAAAAAATTAACTTCATGCCAACAACTGATTGATCAACGACTTCATAAAGGTAGCAGGAAGGTACTGGATGGAGGTCGCTACCAACCAGGCAATGTGGAAATCCTTGGGGGAAACCTATGTTCAGTAGTGGACGTCCTGTGGCTGAAATGATGATGATGATCAATAAAAAGATTTAGGTTATTTAAACTTCTGTTTATCTTTTAAATAAGTAGGTATGTGTCCTAACTTCCTCCTTAAAAGGGCTAACTAAAATGAGCCCAAATTGAACTCGATAGCCTGTGATGTGTTAATTAAAAGAACATTTTTATTTACATGTATTTTTTAGTTCCCAAGAGAAGAGAAGGAGTGGCTGGACATTGTTAATGATTTTGAGAAGAAATGGAACTTCAATCATTGTGCTGGGGCATTCAGTGCCCGGCATATTGCCGTCAATAAGCCATTAGAAGGGAGTGAAGTATTATTGAACCACAAAGGCTTCCACAGCGTCCTCTTAATAGCAGTGGTCAACGCAAACCATGAATTTGTTTACGTCGATATTGGCACAAATGGTGGATACGACCAAAAGTTAATTCTTAGTGCTACAGGATTTTTTGGAAATATGATTGAGGAAACAATAAATTTACCAAAGGATTGTCCGTTGCCTGCATCTGACGTGGCAATGCCATATGTATTTTTGTCAGATGCATACTATGTAATAGAGAACATGATGAGAACTTATCCGTTGGATAACGTATCATGCGAAGAGAAGATATTTAACTACAGGTTTGGCAGAGCATATCGTGTTGTAGATGATGCATTTGGGATCTTGTACGAGAGATTTGGTGTACTACAGCGGAATATAGACGTAGAGAATGCTAATGATATTGTGATAGCATGTTGTGCCTTGCACAATTATTTGGCGAAGACAATAAATGATGATTATTTAAGAAAAGAATCTTTGGATGTGGAGGATGTGGTTAACTATAAGTTCCAGAAAGCCTCATGGCGTTTGAAAGAGGAAGGGTTGAATTGGGACGAAACTCATCCTTTAGCCGCAGTACCCCAGGGACCAGAAGAAATTTTAGATGGCAGGGGAAAAGGTGTAAGGGAGAGCTTCACTAATTACTTTATTTACCAAGGAAAAGTTCCATTTCAAGAGCAAATGGTGAATGTTGTGCCTGAATTACAATTGTTAACTAATTAATAAATGTTATTATAAGAATTACTATACTAGCCAAGGAAAAGTGCCATTTCAAGAGAAAATGGTGAATGTTGTGCCTGAATACAATTTTGTTAACTAATTAATAAATGTTATAAGAATTGTTGATTAAGACATACATTTTTTTGTATCATTTAATCCTACTAATATTATAAATTCGCGGGAAGAGCCTGGATGCGGGCAGCGCAGGACCGTTCATTGTGGAAAACCTTGGGGGAGGCCTTTGTCCAGCAGTGGACGTCATTTGGCTGAAACAACAATATTATAAATGCGAAAGTTTGTGTGGATGTCTGGATGTTTGTTACTTTCACACAAAAACTACTAAACGGATTTTGATGAAATGAATAACATATAGGCTATAATTTATGACGATATGTGACAAACTAAATTTCACGCGGGTGAAGCCACGGGCAAAAGCTAGTTGTCCTATGTCGCGACTAGTTGGACTAGCGTTATCTACACTAAGTTAAGTAGGTACCTATCTGGGGGCACGGCAGCAGCGTTGCCAGTTTTTTTTTTCGCCAAGTCGGGACTTTGGTACTTTTTGAGTGAAAATAGCGGGATTCTTCCGTCAAAAGCGGGACATAGTAAAAAAACGTATACAATCAAAGGTTTTCAAATATTTTTTTTTATTTGACTTTAAATTACGTTTACGTGATGACAATAGATAGCAAAATTAGCCATAGAAAATGTATTTTAACAAAAAAATAATATTTTAAATCAGATTTACTCTATCGTTTAATTCGTCTTTAGAATAAAAAAAGAAAAAAATAACAAAAATCGAAATTAAAAAAGTTTTATTCTTTAGAATAATATGGCGTTTCAAACAATAGTCAGTGCCCCGATTACGCTAACCCGATTACGGTAATTTTTAACGTCTCCAATATAGACTCTGGTGAAGTGAGTGTCTCTCTCCGAAAAGCGGGACCGAGCCTGTCCCGCGCGGGACATTTAAATTTGATTGAAAAATCGGGACGTCCCGCCAAAATCGGGACGTCTGGCAACGCTGCACGGCAGTGCCCCCACCAAGTCGAGCAAAAAAGCGGCACGGCCGTACCATCCTTTTCTCGAAGCAATTCAGGCCATTTTCGACCGCCTGTAACTTCGTTGTGGATAAAACTAGAAGGCTGAATTTTCATTAGCTATGCAGGCATTGTAAAGACACGGTATATTTAAAATTGATTCAATTTGAACCAGTAGTTTAAGAATTATAACGGGTCAAAGTTACTTAATTTTGTCACTCACTGACTGACTCACTGACTCACCGATCATCAAAATTCTAAGGCACTTCTAGCAGACCTAGAAGCTTCAAATTTGGAATATAAGTAGTGTTTGGTGTATGAATCAAGGAAAAACTAAAATATTTGGGGGCACGGTAGTGCAACCGCCAAGTCGAGTAAAATTTTTCAATTTCGGTCCAGTTTTCTAGATACATAACTGCTGTCTACAAAATACAAAAAGAAATGAGATCCCATCAAAAACAATACTTGTCAAAAAAACCAAGTCTCGCAACTCAGTTGTTCTACGGTAAAAAGTTGTGAGATCCATGTAATACCAAGTCCAGGCCAGGAAATCTTTAACGTTTTACATAAATATATTGACTTGGCCATCGCATGAAAACACGTGTAAATTAAATTATTTAGTGCGATGGCCAAGTCAATAATTTATGTAAAACGTTAAAGATTTCCTGGCCTGGACTTGGTATTACATGGATCTCACAACTTTTTACCGTAGAACAACTGAGTTGCGAGACTTGGTTTTTTTGACAAGTATTGTTTTTGATGGGATTATAATTGATTTCTTGTTACTTTGTATTAAACAGGCTGAATGAAGTGCTGTACCGATTTGAAAAACTCACCATTATTTCTGATGAACATAGATGGTACAAAGTTCGCCAGGTATACTAAACAAATTCTATATAATTTCACGCTATCCTAGTTCATGCTAGTATACCTAGGTCTTTTAGGGACATCATATTAGAGCTTTATGGGCTCTTCCCACATCAAATTTACGGATCTTTTTTGAAAAATAAGTAGGTTGGGAGTATTCCTCTGTAGTACTAATTTTATTATTCTGTGCTAAAAGGGTGACCTAACGATTATACAAATGTAAAGTATCTACGTAATTTGTATTCAACTGGCGGTTACTTAATCAAACTCAAGAGAAATCAAGACCTATTCAAGCACCACTTGCATCGAATCAGCTAATTATTCCCGAGGGTTTTCCGTAAGACGAACAAGGCGCATTTACATACTAACGAGCTCGTGGAATGAACTGACTCCACAAATCTTTCCGTTGATTGAGGAGTTGGCAGGTGCGAAAGGGTTAAGTAGATAAGGTGTGAAAGGGTTGAGATAAGGTGTGGAAGGTAATTAATGATGGCTCGATAGCGTAATGAATGACTTATAACAGTGGTTGTTGTAATAATCGA